CACTGAGCTGCTGGAGCAATTCAGACCTGCATGTCCACCGTGAGAAGCCAGCACATGTGTGTGTCCAAGCAGCTTATCATCTGGATTTAAACACTTATTTAGTAAGGATCATTCAATGTTCTTCCAGTTTATTGCATGGTGCTTATTTAGGCAGAAGGTATTTATACCTGGAACATCAAACTAAGATATAAACAGCATGAAGATAGCTTTACTTCTGCTTAATTTTTCCGAGTTGCTGGAGCAGACAACTTCACAACTAGGTGTCTGTTTCCCATAACTCAGAGTAGGCAATTTTTTTCCAATTATATTTTAATTCATGGGCAACCATCCTCTACAGCAGGTGGTGAGCTAAGGGGGTCTGGAAGCCAGGGAGAAGGAAGATATGATGAAGTATTAAATAATTTTTACTTGAATTTGTAGCAGTCAGTACGACAGAGATGCAGAGACAACATGTGTCTGTCAAGTGGAGTCAGGTGAACAGGATGCATTAGGCTAGCATCAGATGCATCCAGAACAGTCTCCTCCGCCAGCCGCAATGGAGTCTGAACCAGACTGTTTCTCACTTGGATTTTCTCAGTGCCTTGGCCTAATCCCCCATTTCATCAGCACGTCTTGTTCTCTCCTTGCTGCTACAGGATCCTTCACATGACCTTGAGATTACTCAAATAACCAGAATATCATGTGGGACTTGAATGGTGCCACATGAATGCACTCCTCTTCATAACATGTCTTGTTCCAATACTAGGAACATCCTTGCCTGAGAAATTAATGAAAACTCCTGAAAGAATCTACATGTCTTAATAAAATTTCATTCTTAATCTGTTTGCTGAATTTTTTACTAAGCATGTTATGAGAATGACCTTTAAAATACAGAAATGAATAAGGCTCCTGACTTGCAATTGCTTTCAATCAAATAGGAACAACACCTCCATAGAAGCAGAATTCCCACCCAACTGCCCAGGCCTCGCCCATCCTGCCTCAGTGCATCTCTGGAGAGGATGCACCATCAACCCCCTCTATTTAAACCTCAAGTCTGGGAATCATTCTTGAATCTCAGATTCCACCTTGCTCTGCTCTGTGGCCAAAGCTCAGATTCACGCCACCTTCACCATTCACTCGGCCTGAGGAAAAAGCATCCTCAATGGTCCCCTCCTCTGATGCCACATTCTCCAAATGAAACACATCCTAACAGCTGTATGCGGAACAGCTCCTGGTTAAAGCCTTCTTGTGATTGACCAGTGCTCCTTCACTGCCCCCAGGCCCTACATTAACTGGCCCTTGAAAGTCCCCGAATTTCCTCCAGTAGCACTCTCCTTCCGCCTTCTCGTATTCCATACACGGGCCCTCTTCTCACATCTCATTCTGCAATCACACCACTCGCTTCCCCCTCTGCCTGAACACACTCCATTCTCCCCCTTTATGTTTTGGCCGTGTCAGCTTCTCTCCACCCAAGTCTTACAGCACGTATCCCCTCCTCAGGAAGCCCTCCCTGACTACTCCCTCAAACACTGCCCCAAAACATTTTATTCTTGGCCAGCGTCTAGGCTCACTAGGCTAATCCTCCGCCTGCGGCGCTGGCACCCCGGGGTTCTAATCCCCATTGAGGCACCGGATTCTGTCCCGGTTGCTCCTCTTCTAGTCCAGCTCTCTGCTGTGGCCCAGGAAGGCAGTGGAGGATGGCCCAAGTGCTTGGGCCCTGCACCTGCATGGGAGACCAGGAGGAAGCACCTGGCTCCTGGCTTCAGATTGGCGCAGCGCACTGGCCATGGCAGCCATTTGGGGGGTGAACCAATGGAAGGAAGACCTTTCTCTCTGTCTCTCTCTCTCACTGTCTAACGCTGCCTGTCAAAAAAAAAAAAAAAAAAAAAAAAGGAAAAGAAAAGAAAGAAAGCATTTTATTCCCATTCCACTTTCACTTTCTGGATTATTTAAAAATTACCAATGTTTTGCTTCTCTCCTCCACTAGCATATAGACCGGCCCTGTCAGGATTACTGAGGAGTGTATTTCTGTCCTAGAGGCATGTCTGGCTCACAGGAGGTGCTGAGGAAGCAGCTGCTGATTGGTGGCTATCCAGCACAAAGGAGAGAAAGATGCAAATGACAGGAATGGGTCAAGAAGGATCTCTGGCTTTTGTGGAGAGAGGAAAGTAGGAAATAGGCCGGCGCCGCAGCTCACTAGGCTAATCCTCCACCTTGCGGCGCCGGCACACCAGGTTCTAGTCCCGGTCGGGGCGCCGGATTCTGTCCCGGTTGCCCCTCTTCCAGGCCAGCTCTCTGCTGTGGCCAGGGAGTGCAGTGGAGGATTGCCCAAGTCCTTGGGCCCTGCACCCCATGGGAGACCATGATAAGTACCTGGCTCCTGCCATCGGATCAGTGCGGTGCGCCGGCCGCAGCGTGCCGGCCGTGGCGGCTATTGGAGGGTGAACCAACGGTAAAGGAAGACCTTTCTCTCTGACTCTCTCTCTCTCTCTCTGTCCACTCTGCCTGTCAAAAAAAAAAAAAAAAAAAAAAGAAAGTAGGAAATAACTTCCCAAGGAAAGACTGCACAATGCTTTGGAGGACTAGCAGGCAGCAGGAACACAAGGCATCCCAGGCTCTAGAATTAGCAAAGACAAGACCTGAAAGGCACAGATGAGTCCAGGTGTGTCTGAGAGAGAAAACAACACTTGAAATGGGTGGTGCCCAGGAAGTGTGGAGGATTAGCCATTCGAGAGATGAGTACAGGTGGTGGAGAGGGTATGGGATTGGAACCTCATTTGTTAAGACCATGGAAAGTCATTGAAAAGTTTTGAGGATGAAAACTGGTACACTCTGATTTCCTGTTTATGAACACTAAGAAAAAGTTTCAACTTAAAAACACACGACCAAAAATGACAGTACTTTTAAGAGGGTTATGTATTCTCCCTATGTTTGGAGAGAAAAAAGATCTTTGATACCATGTATAAATACAAGGCAAAGAGGGGCCTATGGTTGGTGACTTCATATCTTAGAAGAAAGACTGAGTGTGGACCAACTTTTGGTTTTCAAAGGTAATGAAGAGCCATATCCCATTTCCAAACAAATTAAAAACCACCACTGAGGGTCTTGCAGGCAATACTGGATTCCAGCACTGAAATGGAATCTGGATCCAGGACAAATCTAAGCAAGCACTCTTCCTATCACAAGTTAAGTGACTCAAACAGCAGTCAATGGATGGAATCATACCACTTAAGCTAAATTAATCCTTAAGACCTGCATAATAAATTAGACTTAAAGTAAACTCACGAATGACTCAATCTCTTAAAAAGGCATTGGATAAAACGATTAAGTAATTGAGGACCTACAACAAAATGTGCCTTCCAAATTATTGACTGTTCAGTTCCCACTTGTCAGGGGTCTTCTTAAGACAGAATTATTCAATGAGCCCAGCTTTCCTTAATAAACATGGAGTGGTATGGAAAGGCTCATGTGGAAGGCAAAGGTGGACACGAGGGAGCATCCTGCAGCCCAGGAGCTAACTGGCATTTTTACTAGTTCAAGCAAGGGGTCAGATCTAGGCTTCAGCTTGCTGGCCCGTAAAATGAGGAACCCAGAAACATGATCAAAGGCCCCTTCTACAACAAAGAAATTCCTTGTATCTGCTTTCCATAAACCAGAGTGCTGACTTGGGCTGGAAAGGTGAACGCCTTGGAGCACGTGGCTCAGTGGGTGTGGGGATGAACTGGCCTCCACTGGAGGCAGTAATATGGCCAAAGCATGAATGTTAGAGTCGGATGGGTCTGGACACACATGTTAACTGTGACACTGTGGGAAGCAAACATCTATAAGTATCTCCATAAATGGGAATAGAGTTGCTGGGAGAATTGAAAGACCACAGATGCTAGGTGCTCAGTAGAATGCCTGACAAATCAGTAACTACAAATAAATGACAGTTCTAGAAGACAATTGGTCACGTTAGTTTTATCTCACTTACTTAGCTATTGGATTTGCCTCCATTATTTTATATGAGATTCTCCAGTCAGAAAGATGATAAAATTAAGGAAGCTCACAAATCTGGAAAGGATCCTAAGTCTTTTCATCCAGGTACCCGTTTTCAGGCATTTTCATTATCACCATCACTTTATTAACAAAGACACTGAGGACTTGAGTGGTTTAGCTGGCTGCCTAAGGTCACCCAGCCAACAAGTCCATTTCAAACTCTCAAGTTTGCAGGCCGGTGTTATGGTGTAACAGGTTACACTGCTGCTTGTGATGTTGGCATTCCATATGAGTGTTGGGTTCATGTCCTGGGTGCTCCACTTCCAAACCAGCTCCCTGCTGATGGCCTGAGATAGCAGCAGAACATGCCCCAAGTGTTTGGGTCCCTGCCACCCATGGGGGAGACCTGGATAAAGATCCTGGCTCAGCCTGGCTTAGCCCCAGCTGTTGTGGGCACTTAAAATGTGAACCAGTGGATGGAAGACCTGCCTTTCTCTGTCTCTTTCTCTCTGTGTGTAACTCGGACTTTCAAATAAATAAATAATTAAAAAAAATCTCTCATTTATGTCTTCAGTGGTCCTCTAGCATTTAGAAGTACAGAAAATAATTTCCTGGGCTATGGATTGCATGCCTGAAGAAATAAAGCTGCCTTTGTTATAACTAATAATTTATAAAGTGAGATAAAAGTGCATAAATCAAAGGAGCTGTGTGCTGAGTTATCCAAGTGCCAACTCTAAAATATCTGACAGTCTGGGAAATGATAATGAAGCCCGTGACAATCCTTACTGATGCTTAGAACACTGCTAAGCAAAAAAAAAAAAAAAAAAAAAAAAAATCAGAAAACATAGTTTCATTTAGGGTCTGATTATAACTAACAAAATGGTATACACATATAGCAAGAAAGGAACTTGGAAAATGACTAGGGCTGATTTGCGAGGGAGGCGCAGTTGCGTGAGCTTTATTTTTATCTCGTGACTATAACGGAGCTGGCACAAGACACACCACAACTGTGATAAGAGAAGCAGACGCCGCCGTTCGCTTACCCGGGGTTATACAACATGACCGCAGACAGGTTCTCGCAGGACTTCGAGAGGTCGGTCATGGACAAGCTGAAGGAGGACAGAAGGCCACTCTAAGAGCAGACACAGGGCAGAGCGGTTACCTTAGAGGATAAGAGACGGCCAGTGCTCTGGGCTCACTGTCAACTCACAAGAGACAATGAGGCCCGTGCACCCCTGAGGAACAGGACTAACAACCTGTCTGAGGACAGCAGAGTGGGGGTGGCCAGCTCCGACATTCTCAAACCCAAGCCGCAAGCACAGCAGGACTTCGGCATTCTAGCTCTGGGGAAATCCACCCGGAATCTACAACCCAACTGCTCTCCCTGGCCAGGCTGCATTCAACTCAAGAAGGGAAGGGGTCACACCATCGTTGTCATTGTCACCCTCCACTCCACTCCCTGGCAGGCAGCAGTCTCCTGCTGTCACTCACTTGTGCATCCTAAGGGACCAGGGCAGATGAGGGAGAGGCACAGGGAGAGCAGGTGTGGAGCTTGGCTGCTTGGGCTTCATGCAAAGCTACTGGGGGCAGGTTTTCCCCTCCCTGTTTGTTCCCATGAACCTGTGGTCTCAAGGCTGGAACACACAAGAAGCTTCCCTGGCAGGGGTTGCAACATTGTCATTATTTGCCATCTCCTGGCGGCCCTTAAAAGAGCGCCTGGGGAGAGAGGCTGTGGAACTCAGTGGTTAGGGCAGAGGTTTCCAGGCCCACAGGTCAGTGTGCAGCCCAGGATCCCTACTTGCTGGCTACAGAGTCAGGGAGGGTCTGCCTCAGGCTTCTTTTCTTCATGATCATGTCTGTCCCACAGGGGACATAAATGCTCCTGCACATTTAAAGTCGTAGAACAAATGTGGAAGTTTGGCACAGATCCTAGCTCAGAGAAACATGGCTGTCAACTCTGGCCAGCTTTCAGTCTAAAGGCCAGTCGTGCTGTCCCTAGGCAGGTTCCTTCCTTCTCATTTCTCCCTTCCTTTCTCTTCCTTGCCCATCTCCTCCATTCAGGAGTTCCCACGCCCTGTCACTAAAAGTCACCTTCCAGTCAACAGTCCTACACTCACCCCTGCTCTATGTCTCACAGCAATGAAACAGCCAACTGACTGTGGCGGCTTCGGGGTGAAAAGTGGTTCCAACATCAGATAAATTCTTAAAACAGATGCTGATTGAGTGGAAGTCACTCTCCACTTCAAGCAAAATGATGTGTGGGGGTCAGGCTGGAGGCTAAAGAGAAAGTCTAGAAAGGTCTAGACGGGGCTTTGTCTCCTGCTCTGGACTTCACTGGGTGCCCTCCTACTTCATCTGCCAATCATCTGCCATAAGGAAACTGCCTGGAATCACTCCAGGCTACAGAACCTCCTTGCAAGTGGTTCTGAACTCTGGGCCATCCAAGTGCTGGAATCAGCGTGGCGTGGGCCCACCCACCCACACTGCCATGCCACAGCACAAGGTCCCCTGGAGACACCATGCTGCTCACCTTCCTTTTTTCCCTGAGCTTGGCGGCTTCCTTTGGATGGTTAAACCGAAACATATTGGTTCTGCCCAAGAGTATCACGGCACCTGAGAGCACACAAAAACAGCAGTGAGTTCACAGCAAGCTACAACATCATAACCTGCAATTCTAGAGCTGAAAAGTAAGTTCTAATGCCTTATAAAAGGATTCAGCTTCAGTCTCAAACGTCTACTTCCGTAAGCCAATTCTAAACCTGTGAATACTTTTATTTTTATAGCTGACATCACAATACTCATAATATCCTAGGCAGAAGTGATGAATCTAAACATTACAACCCATTATGAGATTTAAAACTTAATACACAGATAATTAGACTTTTGACTGTTTAGAAGAAAAAAAGAAGCTGGTTCTCCAGAGACATACTATCAAGCAAAGCATATGGTCACAAATTTGGGAAATGTTTATTAATGCTGATAAAAGTGCAACTCTCAGAGAAAAGTGTTTTCAAATGCAAACAAAGCAAAAATGGCAGAGTGCAGGTAACTTACTAAAACTGTCCACAAAATCTGACAGCAAAGAAATTGTGCACATGTGTGATCTCTTTCCAAGGAAGAACACTGCTCTGCTCAAAACACTGTTAGAATTGTGATGGCCACATTATACACACACACACACACACACACACGAAATGCTCCTTTTTGACTTATTGGGGCAAAAAAACCTGTGTAAGGGGCAGAGGATTTCAAGGAGTGTCCAACGAGAACAGTCCTGCAGGGTCAGGAGGCTGTCAGCCTGGTTAAGCAAACAAACAAGTCCTCTCTAAGGTCAGAGCTGTCCACAGCTAGCACAGTGTGGGCAGGTCAGTGAGCTCCTTGTCACTGGAGGCATGCAACAGGAGCAAAGCCGCAGAAGAGATTCACGTGCTGTATCTGGTCCCACCGCCTGAGAGCCTACGGGGCCTCAGGACAGACACGCATGACAAGGCTGTGTAGGCGGAAACAGATGTATTGGTGGAGACCAGAACCACATACTGAAGTCAGCCACCATGGATGATTGAGTGGCTAGCATCTGAGTGATTGGGCATAGGCTGCTGTGGCTAAGGACAGACTTCGGCGTGAAGGACCTGATCTAGGCCTTACTGGGTATCTGGAGGGCAACAGCAAGTGTTGGAGTCATCACAGGGAGAGGATGACCTCAGACAGCAGAATGGGTTAGAGGAGAGAGCCAAATCCACCGAAACACAGGCTTGTGAAACAGCAGCAAGCAGTGATCCTGGGTGCTTCAAGTAAAAACAGACTGTGATGACCCACAGAACCGGGATACAGAGTTTTGACCAGAGGCCACAACTGGTGGACAGAGATAAAATTCTGTCCACTGATATGTTCTGTCATATCTTGCTTAAAGCTTCAAAAACAAAAATATTAGTTGCAACAGTTTTAAACCTGAAGTTTTCACATGAAACTCCAGGTTTCTTCCTAATATCCCTTTCAATATTGGATGATATGGAATCAGCTCTTTATTGCCACTTGGCAAAAACCCCTGGGTCATGACAGCTGCCTGCTCTGGACAGGGCATATGACATCCCACTGACCACAGCTGCCAGCCTCTCTCCTGGGTGACATCATCACAAAGACCCTTCAGGTATAACATCATTACTCCACATAGCTATTCTGAAATGTCAACCAGTACATCCACCTACATTACCATGGTGTCAGAGAGATTTCAAGTTCAACATGGCTAAAATCAAACTGTTTTAGGGGCTGGTGTTGTGGTGCAGCAGGTTAAGCTACCCCTTGCTACTCTGGCATCTCATACTAGACTGCCAGTTCAAGTCCCAGCTACTTTGCTTCCAGTCTAGATTCCTGCTAATGTGTCTGGAAAGTACTTGGCCTAAATACTTGGGAGCCTGCCACCAATGCAGGAGACCTGGATGGAGTTCCTGGCTCTAGCCTGGCTCTGATTTGGCTTTTGCAGTCATTTGGGAAGTGAAAGTGAATTAGCAAATGATCTCTCTCTCTCTTTCCCTTCTTCCTTCTCTCTCTCTCTCTCTCTCACACCCTTTGTCACACTGTCTTTCCAATAAGTAAATAAATCTTAAACAAAACACATACCAAATCGGTTTAGAGTACAACCACAGGGAGTAACTGAAGAGCTGGTTTTGGTAGTTGTCACTATTTTCTAGCAATGGAATAAACGTGAGAAGGCTGTTTTAGGAGACCTAGAAGGGCAATGCTGAATGTTACCCACTCTACAGTCTACATCTGCTTCATCCCCCTCATGTAAAATTGCATTGTCTGTTTTCCAATTATGGAAAAGCACCATGACCATAATTAAGAAATGTATTTCCCATGCCTTTTAAGCCTAAGACTTAGAGCTGCATGCCACATACAAAGTCAAAAGTTAAGCAGCCATGTCTGGGATATATGCATATTTAATGCTCTTAAAGTTACATTAGAGATTAATAAGGCAATAGCATTCCAGGTGTTAATTACATCTAATCCAATTCTTTTTTTTTTCTTTCTGTTAATCACATGCCCAGCCATGCAAGCTGAAAATTGCTAAAATATGGTAATGGCAAAATAGAACAGTATTTCAGAGACATACTTCAAATAACATTAAATCACTGAAAATAATCCTGCCACCCACATTATTTGCATCGAGTTCACATAAAAAGTCCTTTAAAGAGTTATAAAGGAAAGCAAAAATATCCACAACAACTAAATTGTTTCTACCTAAATAATGTCAACTGCCTGGCATGTAAAAGGGGCTCCATTAAGGCTGGCTCCTTCCTTTTCCTTTACTGTCCATTTTGACTTAACAAACATACTGGTGCAGGTGTTTGGAAAGCAACTGAAGACATAACAGGATGTCTGCATCCCATGTGGATGCCTGGTTCTTGGCTCCTCTGCTTCTGGGACAGCTTCCTGCTAACATATACCCTGGAAGGCAGCAGATGATGGCTTACATATTTGGGTCCCTGCAGCCCACATCAAAGACCCAGATTAAATGCAGGCTCTTGGGTTTCATCTGACCCAGCCCTTGTTATTGCGGGCATTTGGGGAAGTAAACCAACCAATGGAAGATCTCTGTCACTCTGCCTTCCAAATAAGTAAGTAAAGAATATCTTTTTAAAAAAAATTAAATAAGTTTTAAAAAGTAGATGAGATAAAAATCTAATAATCTTACAAATGCAAATCTGCAAATGCAGGAGAGAAAACAGGCTCAGCATTCAAAAAAAGGAGGAGAAAAAAGGAGGTTTACTGTATGGGAGGTCAGAGGATTCTCTCAGGGAAGTCATGCTTCAGAAAATCTTAAAGGATGAATTGGGGAAAAATGGAATATGCAAAGGTCTTAGAGCAGAAAACAGCGAGGAGGAGGAAGAAGTGGAGTAGGGAGAGAGGCGGTAGTGAGGATGACAACTGGAAGACAGGTGCAGCAACACTACATGGTTAGCTTTGAGTTCTGGAACGACCATTCTCGCAACTGGATGAAGAATGGCCAAAGGGGATCCGACCAGACATGGACAAGCTAGGAGACTACTGCAATGTCCAGGCCTGAAGAAGAGGGGTAGGCAAACAAATCCAGAAGATATTTAGGAGATAAAATCAACAGGAATTGGTGATGTACTAGAACAGGGAGACAAAGGGAAGTGCGGCAGTCAGTTCCTAAGTTTGGGACTTCCCCACTGAATGGAGAACGAGCCACACTCACTGAGAACTCTGGGAAAGGACAGGATGGGGGTGGGAGGAGGTGAGGGGATCAGCTGTTTGGTTTTAGATCTAATGAATTTGAAATACCGTGGCAAATGACAATTGGGTCGAAAGTTATAAAACAAATGCCTGGGATGCTCATCTATCTATCTACTTCTTTAATTTACCTACCTATTATCTATCTATCTATCTATCTATCTATCTATCTATCTATTCTCTATCCATCTATCTATCTCTGGGTATGTGTGTATATATATATATATATATATATATATATATATATAAACACATACACAAGTAAGTGAACATATCTATGAGGATACTTCAAAAAGTTCATCATGGAAAAATGAATTAAAAACAAGTCTGTTTTGGTGCAAAAACCGTTTAAATGCATTGTCTTTCATAACATGTATTTCCCGTGAATGTTCTGAAGATACTCTCATAAGTGAAGCAATAGGAGTGGGGACGTTACCCAGGGGAGAAGTGAGAGGTAAAAGAGGAAATCAACTAAAAGAAAAAAATAAACGGGGTTGGGGGGGACATGGAGGATATTATTGAATGAATGTAAAGAAGGAATAAATGAAGGAACTAGGACGGAGAATGGTTAAGAAAGTACAGTTTCTGGATGAGCTACACAGCCTGCGTCCAGCCCAGAAATCTTAGTCTGACCAAGGACAAGTCACTGCTCATCCTCCCCAGAATTCACTTTCCTCATCCAGCCATCAAACTGGAAAATTTCTAAGATTCCTTCCAGACACTAGCTTCTAGTCCTTGAATCTGGGGTTAATGTGATTAATCCCAGCAGATGGACTTTTTGTGATGCGCTTAATTTGTAATTTTGGAAGCATGTCTAAACCTCCTTGAAATACACAAGGGCTTCTCTGAGATGACTTCAGGGCTTGTTAAATATCTGAAGATAGACAAATTCCAGGCTGACTGAAAAGAAGATAGAAGGGAAAAGACATTGTAAAAGGGCAGTCAAACATTTATTCAAAAGGAAGGAAGGAAGGAGGGAGGGAGGGAGGGAGGAAGGAGGGAGGGAGGGAGGGAGGAGGGAGGAAAGAAGGAGGGAGGAAGGGAGGAAGGGGGAGGGGGGGAGAGAGAGAGAGAGAAAGGAAGGAAGGAAGGAAGGAAGGAAGGAAGGGAGGGAGGGAGGGAGGGAGGGGAAGAGGAAGGAAGGGAGGGAGGGAGGAAGAAAAGCTTCATTTAAATCTCTGAGCAACCACTGAAGGCTAGTTCACATGAGCTCTTCTGTGTTAACATTTCAGATAAGCTGACAGAAGCATATAACCACTTCTAGTCATTTCTAAAGAGTACAGAGACAATAACCAATACCACCATTCATTTCCCTACCCTTCAAGTGTCCGGTAAGATTTTCTAATTCTGCTACTGCACAA